TCTCAGTAACTACAACGTTTATCAAAAAAATACTTCAAATAATGTGGATGCGCCTATGTTTCAAGATGCGGAATAAGGAAGATATTGAGAAAATCATAATGCAATGCAGGTACCACGGACGAACGCGTTTCGCCGCATTCGTACCCCTATTCTCCCCGCAATACCCGCGGCTATCATGGTTCCATACGCTTTCGTTATACACATCAACATTGAGAGAGGGGCCACACGAGCGTTTATGCAACGCACGTTAAAACGGACGTTATTTTGGAACGCGCGACAAATCTTCCGGCCACACGAGCGTCAGTTTGTTGAGTATACATGTGACAGTCATGGAAGGTCCGCAGGATGTTGCCGCATTTCTGATTTTATACCTAGATCTACGTAAAAAAAAGCAGGCTAGGAAAAAACGTAATTGGTGGGTTCATCCATAAACAGTGAGAGGTTCTTAAGTGGATCATTTTATACTCTCTATCCTCTCAAGCTGTAGTTTTCTTATTCCGGTCCTTGTACTCCTCATCAGAAGTATCCCAAAGCACGGGACGTTTTTGGACTTCATTTATGATCACTTCTATATCCATGTTTGATATAATGAATCAAAAACAAGTCCAAAACATACGATAACAACGTCTACGATAGTCTACGATGTCTACGATAGTCTACGATACGGACAACTCAACCGTTAGCTGTTGCCAGATCACAAAAATACTGCCAGTTTCGTATAATCGTCAGATAGACGCGCGTTAAATTGAATATCGTGTGGCTACGTATATCTGACCATGTGTTGAACAAGAACGCGCGCTGTGTCCACCAACGGGCGTACTAGAGGTGCTGAGCGTTGACAATGAATAACGCGCGACGAGTTGAGCGCGCGTTGGTGGTGTGACCGACGCATATCACGCTGGTGTTATTCTACAACGTCCGCTACAACGCGCGTTACAACGTCCGTCATTTAAACGCTCGTGTGACCCCTCTCTAAGGCGTTGACCATTGCATCTAATGGTGACTTATTGTGAATGAATTATTCGATATTTGGTACTGTGTGTTCTGTTTCAATAATTAAATAAGTATTGAGTAGCTAACGAAATCTATTATTGTAAATTCATCATAAAATATATGTTTCCCTAGATAAAAGATGGCAAGTACTAGCAATTCAGAGACTTGAATTTGAGGATTCCTTTCCAGCAGAGTACAGAATCATCGAGAAAATGTTTCATTTGTGGAAAAGATGGTCAACTCCTTTGTTGTACAGAATTATCGATAAAAACATTTGAAAGTTGTATATGAATATAAGAAAAAACCTCGGAAAAAACTATGCGAGGCAAATCGATATGGAACTTCTGGGAATTGATGATATTTTCAATGAAAATAAAGGTCAATCGATCTTCTGGCACAGGAATATTGAAAACTGGAGACAATAATGTCAGGAATAAAACGCTTTCTATAGTGAAATTGATGTGAAGGTATTTTTGATGTGTCTAAAAGAATTTTCTACCAAAAACGTTCAAATAAGAGTCAAGTTTTGACCTAGTATAGACTACCGACATTGTTTATTGCCATGGAAGTCAAGCATCATAACCAATGCTTTGTATCGAATTGGAAACATTATAGAGGATCACTGAGTGAGAATAAAGTTGTCATACCACACATGACAAAGAATTTGATAATCTGATAAAATTAATAGATGGTGCAGATTTTCTAACAAAAAAAGGGTACACTTTCAACTGTTTATATCAAAAATATGCCGAACTTGGTGGCAAAATTGGTAGGAAAATCTTAATCGAAAATTACTGTCTGTAGGTTAATCGAGAAGGTGAAACATTCATTTTACTTGATTTTTTGGGATTTTCTCTCCTCGTTTACCTTTGGACGTTTCGGCAACGAATCTGCTCCCGTCCCAACATGAAAATGCAACTTCCAAAGAAAAATGTTTTGCATTTTTATGTTGAGAACGGGAGCAGATTCGTTTCCGAAACGTCCAGAGAAACGAGGAGAGAAAATCTCGAAAAATCAAGTAAAATGAATTTATCGAAGAAATCAGAAAGCACTACGACAAGGAAATAGAAATTATCAAATAAATCAAAGCGTTCTAATGAGTCGTAATTTGTGATTCCAAGTGACAAAAACTCATCTGATTCATACACATATAAAGAACAAAGTGAAATTACAGAAGATAACTCCCCTGACTTTGTATGCATCAGATATGACCCATCAGATACACAAACTTTTTTGAGATATTTATCAAGATATGAGAGATATTCCAGATTATAAACAACTCAAAAATATGGATGTCAAGGCTCACAAGGATATGATACCTACCAAAAAAACTTTTTTAAAATTAGTTGCCTTATACACGCGATAAAGTTGATTCAAATGATTCAAAGGTGTTGAGTATCTGATGTCAAGGTATAATACTCGCTAATTCGAAATTCAAAAAACTCACACCGAAACACGTTGGTTTGGGAATAATGATTCATCAAGAGACATGATCGAAAAAAATTATCGTAGCTTTGTGTTCTTGTGGACAGTGTATCGTATTTACGTGTATTTACAACTTCGCAATTCGATAGGTATCAAATAATGTTTTTTTCAAGTTTCCACAAGGATATCTTATTTCCATTTCAATATTATATGCATTATGTTTTGTTTCAATATTTGTCAATTTGTTTATAAATGAGATGGTTGACATTTTACTCTGATATGGATAAGAAATGTACTTTCGGGATAGAATCATTCATAAAATAAATGGAGGGCACTTCCAATCAAACAGCAAGTTAAAATAAATTCCTGTTAACTTGGAAAATAGCGATCAATTCCATTTCTCCCGTGAATTCCAAGATCGTACTATTCTGTAACACTCAGTAATTCATATTTACGGTGATCGTACTAGGACGGCTGCGGGCGTTGCGGGGAGAATCGGGGTATGAAAGCGGCGAGTCGCCGTCCTTCGTACTACCTGCATTGTATTATGATATTCCCAATATCTTCCTTATTTATGCTTCGATTTTCGAAATCGAAGAACCATTCGCATCTTGAAACATAGGCGCATCGACATTATTTCGAGTATTTTTTTGATAAACGTTATAGTTACTGAGATAATGCGAGGTATATGGAAAGCAATTTAACGAAAATTTACAAGTTTCGAGTTATAGCATTTGAAATATAATTTTCTCATATATCGTAATATAATTGGTGAATTTCAAAATTTTCTATAATTTGTTCAACTTGTTACACGAAATCAAGATTCGACAGGGTGGAAGTTATGATACCCATCAATATTTTCCACGAATAAAAAAAAAATCCATATTTTTTTATAAATTACCCCCTACCCCCCAAACGCACAGGACGATTTTTTGACGACAAGTGGATCCATGATCTGGAGATGGTAGGTAACAATTCTAGCCATGTCACAGCTTTTTACCTCCGATTTCCCACCAACTTTTGATCTAAGCGACTTACGGTTCGTTTGGCACTCTACTAAAACGTGAAGAGGATATTTTTTCAAGTGAATTTGCTGAAGTCAATGCAGCGTAATAAGTTAATTCATCCAGCAGTTGGTTTTCTCCATACGAAAACATATTTATCTACAAGGCAGAATCGTCATGTTTCGATATCACATGTAACAAAGAATTAATGATATACTGAAGTTATCAGATTCAGATTGATTAAAGAAAAACTTTTATTCATAATTTGATTTCTGTCGAACATTTCTTTTTCGTTTTTATATGGTGTTCATGTTTTTTATTTTTCATCAATAAAAGCAAATTGTAATTATGATCGAAATCTACTGTTTAGTTTTGATGATCTACTGTTTTCCCCATCCATCTACTTCTCTGGCAAATTTTCATCGGACAACAGTGGTAGTGTAGCCTCACCAATTTTGTTTCTGTGGAATGTGGATGCTTATTTGTGGTATTATGGTGTTATCGTATGCATAAGGTGAAGTTTAAAGAAGAAAACGCTGTGAAATATTAGCAGTTTCTTATTTGTCAACATAGGTATCGAAAATTGTAATATAGGTAGGTAAGTTCATTATTATCGAGTACAATATTGATATCACCGATAGTGGAAGGACCTATATTTCATTGGATTCATATAAAACACATGAATGTAGTTTTCAGGGATAGTTATCACTGTCTCGTGAAAAATTCTGTCTAATATTGATGAATAACTCATAATTTGATCACAACTTCCTCAAGCTCAATGTTACCTACTCACCAAAAAACGTGCTTTCGAAAATTGTGATGAAATTATTTCTAGTTATTCATGCTCTTTGAGCATTATATAGCATTTTCCTGTGTAAAAAATTCGTATATTTCGCGATATATCGTTTGCTTGAAAACACTGAAATTCGATAGGAAAAGTACTACCAATTTTCATGTTTTTTTTTTTAAGGAGCTTTGCAAAAACCTGGCATATCGAAGGATCATAAATCCACTGAAGCCTCTACATAGAGCTGACTGAAGAGATCTGCTGAGAGGATGAGTGCCACATCAAATAAGAATTGAAATCGATAGGTGCAAGTCTGCGAGAAAACCAAAGAAGAAAGTTCTTCAATCAATATTCATTGCCATGTACACTTCTATCAATATATTATATAATATATCATCTGAATCAGTGAATTTTATTTTTGACCAATAATGGCTTCAGACCTGAAACCGACCTGAATCGTACGTCCCTCAGACGTCCTCGAAATGTCGCCAAATGGTCCAGATTTTTCCCCGAAACGGACCTAATTCGTATGTCCTAGGGACTTCCGACTTATTGACATCGTACGTCCCCAAAACGTCCTGAAGACGTCTGCCGTACTTCAATTGGACGTCCCCGGGACATCTGAAATGTCCGAAGCGAACGGCTTCAGGACGTCCTTGGGACGTACTTGTGCTATCTGGGTAGTAAATCAAAAACTTTGAAAGCTTCTCCTGGAGAAGTATGAAATATAAGATACGCCACTACGTGTTTTGAGGGAGGAGTTGAGGCGGAGCAACAGTACGAAAAATTACCTCGCGGAAAAATCGAAGCGTGTCGGTGCGTGGCCCTCATCAGGCGTCTGCACTATCTCGATCCCCGGACTAGAAATATCCACATTCACCCGAATGCCTCTCTCTTCCAAACTCGTCAACTCTCTGTCCCCCTCCAAGAAGGGATTTGTGTTCTTCGATCCCACGCTGACACTATCTAAGCACCCGCTTGACCTGTTCGAGCACCCGCTTGACCTGTTAGAGCACTCGCTGGACCTGTTCGAGCACTCACTTGACCTGTTCGAGCACTCGCTCGACCTATTAGAGCACTCGCTGGACCCGTTGGAGGCGAGGCTCTCGACACTCGATCCCTTGTGCCTCAGAGGGGAGTTAGCCTCTTCGGAGGGCTTCGTTAGTGCCGAGTTGGGGATCCAGGTGAGGAACATGGTGGGTCTGCGGGACTCGTTGTACTGGTCCACGAACACCTTTAATCAAAAGTAAAAAGTTACTGTATGCCTCAGTAGTCTGGGGCCACACAGCTAAATCTCATATCACCAGATTACAAACATTACAAAACAAAGTCGCGAGAATGGTGACAGGATCTCCTTGGTATGTTCGGAATAACCAGATCGCTAGGGATCTGAAACCCTCTTCAATCGTGTCAGTCATTAAAGAACGAAACATCAAGACTTTCGAAAAAGCTGAGGTTCATGAGAATCAGCTTCTTCGAAATGCAGTTGATTATGACCCAGGTGATCAATCAAAGTTCAAAAGACCGAGATTGTCCATAAACTAGAGAAAATTTCGACATTATGACCAAATTTACTATACTCAAGTTTTTGATATTTATTTTTTCCGTTCGATCTCTTTCAAGTCTTTGAATGTATTTCTGAAAGTTATTTGGGGCAGAAGGGCTGTTCGCATCAAACTTCAATACCGTTTTTATTTTGTTCCATAATAGATATCAGGATAAGAGGGACTCTTCCCTGGTCTGAATAAAATAAAAGAAAGATCCAATATATATACGAACACCTTCAATCAAAAGTAAAAAGGTAAGAGAAACCATTAGTCCAATCAAATGGTATTTTCACTTAGAAAAAATCAAAGTAGTCGTTTTCTCTGTGGTTTTGGAGGTGCTGAATTCGAATCTGAATTTTGCAAACAGAATTCCTTGGAGCGTTCCAAGATATTCGCAAAATAACAGAAAAAATTTCGGAGTTCTTTCGGTTTTTTGCCCGTTGCTCGGAAAATTATACGTTATATAGAAAAGATCGCCCCATAGAAAATTGAAGTAGATAACATTTCCTGAATATAATTGTTTTTGTTAATGAATGTAGGACTAACGAGTGCGGAGGTAAAGCCAGTTGAAAATTGACGGTTGAATTTTCCACCTCAACAGGCGTTATCCAGACCTGCTCCAGGGTAGTCAGCCTTTGGCGGACTGGTACATTACATGAAAAAAAGTGCTCCGCGGTTTGGTGTCAGTCTTCCTTAGACCCTTTTTTTTAGTGATATCTCAGTAGTGCTATAGCTCTTGTTTGTTGAGACTCGCTAGCTTACTAATTGTCGAAGAACTCTTTCCTTCCCGTTTACCTGAAGTTGCTCAACAGTAGTAGGATTTTTCACTTCATTCTCATTTTCTGAGCTCTGTGGTGAGGTGGCATTTTCTTGTATCACAGAAAGGTGAAATGTGAGCTCTGCACTCTTTTGCTAGGCGATCAGCTGCCTCATTCCCTCGACGCCTTGGAACCCACATGAGCGAGAATTGATTCTAATACTTATTCATCACAAAATAGGTGATTTTGATAGTTTGAATTGTTCATCAGTTTTATATCAGAATCTTCAAAGAATGATCTATAGCATTTGGAATTATTATTGTATCGCAATTATAACAACTATAGTTCCAGCGTACAGAATCTTATTTTTTTTGTATCCCATCCCACAGAATACGAAAACAAATCAATGACCTATTCATACGCTCCAATAAATATAGGTTCATAATATGATCCAAATCATATAAGTTGAAAGGATGAACATGAGTGTGGCAACTACGACTAGAAGACGTCTCCAAGTCTGAGCGCTCTAACAGCCGTTCATCTTTTTTTATAATGACGAAATTTACATGAGCTCGATAGGAAATTCGATGCCCTCCCAATATGTGCATAATGCTCTGTCTCTTAGTAATAAGTGAAATATTGTTTTGGGCATAAGAGGAGTATTTTTGTCTTGGATAATATCATATATCCGATATAGGAAAATAATTGTTCAGATAGAACAAACAACATTTCAAATTTTTGATGTCGACCTTGGTGTCCCACAAGGGTCGGTTTAAGGGCCCTTGATATTTTCACTTTTCATCAATGATATGTCAAAATTCATTGATGCGGGTTGTTTAGTACTATTTGCCGATGACACATCTATCGCGGAGGCAGCAGACAGTACCGTGAAACTCGAAAATAAAATAAATTCAACTGCCAACAGGTTTGTTACTTGGTGTCATAATAACAGGCTGATGATTAATGCCGAAAAGACAGTACTTATTGAGTTTTATGGAAGAAAGATAGGGACAACACTTGAAGTTTTTGTTAACGATACGCGTATCACTTCTTCTGAATCTACCAAATTTTTAGGAACATTTCTCGATAATAATATCAGCTGAAAAACGCATGTGAACTCAGTCTGTAAAAACCTGAGCTCGAACTTCTATGCAATGTTTCAATTGAAAAATATACTTGACAAAAATGCCCTTCTTGACGTGTACTATGCCCTGATACATTCTATTATATCTTACAACATCATCTTATGGGGAAGTAGCACCCACATTGACAGAGTATTCATAGCTCAAAAGCGTGTTATACGACTTATATTCAATTTAAAACGAACCGATTCATGTAGACCCAAATTCAAGAAGTTCGAAATACTTACAACACCATGTATCTACTGAGTTGTATTTATAAAAAAAATGCAAAGTGAGTTACAAAAAAACTCTTAGTCCCACAGATATCCAACAAGAAGTGGTGACTTGTTCAGAACAAAAAAACACAGAACAACTTTATTCGAAAAATCACCTTCATTTTCTGGTATGGTATAAGGTATTTCAACTGATGTCTGCCTACCGAAAGTAAAACAATAACTTCACTCCACCTTTTCAAAAGAAGAGTCAAGACATTACTAGCCTCTGAGGGTTTTTATTCAACCGATGAATTCCTGAATGAATTATAAATTTTAAAATGTTTTCATTGTTTGTGATCTTGTGTTATATAATGTTCTCACTTTATTCCTTTCTTCAATTTTTTTTTACATATTATCTACAAAAGTGAACGTTTCATATGTGTTATATATTGTATTTTGTATTAATGCCTATATAAATTTTCATGACATATCCTATATCATTGTAAAGTGATCTATTTGGGATGATTAAAATATTGTATTGTATTGTATTGTATTGTATGAATTATCTGCGAAAACCGACGAGAAACGCTATTTTTTGGAAAGTACCCAAATTTGATCAATTTTCAATCTCCGGATCAATCAAGGAATCTGCTTGGATTCTTCTGAAAGGAGATCATAGCATTGTTTCCAATTCAGTTGATATAGATAGAACATGGTAATCAGTACTGAAATCTGAAGATAAAAATGGTAAATTCGAGATTTATTGATGAAAACATCCTGTAACTCGTTTGACTACCAACGTCACCAATTGTCACTGAGACCTGAGAAGTATCAAGACAAATACGAATTTGCCATACAAACAATCCATTTTTCATGTTGAGAACGGGAGCATATTCGTTCCCGAAACGTCCAAAGATAAGTAAACTTTTCATATATTTTCTATATTCCTCTATTTCTCGTCTCCAAACCTTCTTCAGGCTCTATGATAGGAAAATTCCTTAAACGCATCGACATTTTGGGTCAAATAATTTGATTTGTTACACTACACGTGTATTGAAATAGTATTCATATTTTCATTTGATAGAAACGAAGATGAAATCTAAAAGAATGGAATAATGAATGTACTGTACGAATGTACCTGTAGGTACCACCTCCTCTATTGACCTACAGACAGTAGTTAATGAACATGCACTTTATCACCGACAAATATTGCCAGCAGTATGCCATCGATCAAATCAATGAGCCATTGAATCGCCAGCTTTGTCGTGTTTGCTGGGTTGTAACTATAACATCCATACCCTTAATTCTTCCTCACCTTAGTTGTGACTGTCAGATAACCAGGATGGTGCAGCACCTCCGAATCCTGCCTTGCTGCGACAGGTGGATGCACGCAGACGTTGTTCTTGCAGAAGAGGATCTCGTTGTCTGCGTAGCGAAAGCCTTCGGGACCAGCGCCCTCTGGCGGTCCCAGGATGAAGGCGGACGCCCGGTGGATGATGTTCCTCAGAGGCATCGTGGCTACTGAAAAATAAAAAGATGAAGAATCAAAACCTAACAGTTGTTTTATGTTCTGGTTCCCACGAAAAGGGATATCCTGTAATGTTCAGAGAACATCGTGAAAACCAAAAGAAATAAGGTAGGAATTGGTGTTCTCCTCGAATTTCTGAAGGTTATATGCCTTGGAGAACACCTCCTTTGACAATGTGTTCCAGAGCCTCGCTGTTCGTTGGATGAACGAGTCTTTGGAAATAGATGTTCTGCAGGTCTCCAAAGTGAACACGAAGGGGTGCGAAGCCTCAACTCGACGGTTTGATCTCGTCGGGATTGCCAAGGAAGGTACAGTTGTTGATATTTCAGAAGAGCTTCGTGAAAATATCTATAAAATAGAGCCAGATCGCCAACTTCTCTTCGATGTTCCAGAGGAGTGAGTGAGTTTGTGAGAGCGAGGCATCACCCATGAGACGAATTGCCCTTTTTTTGGACAGAACCCAACAGTTTCAGGGTATGTTTGGGTGCTGCACTCCAAATATGGGATTAGTATTATAGGACAGGTCAAATCTGTGCCTTATAGATCATAAGCAGCTGACTGGAAGTGAAATACCCCATGGCCCGAAACAGAAAACCAAGTATTTGGGATGCACCTTTAGCGATTGATCTCTCGTGATTTTCTCAAGAAAGGTTATTGCTGATAGTAATACCAAGCATCGAAATGAATGTCTTCAAGGGTATGGTTACCCCTGACAAGCTTATGTTGGGCACAGTGAGATCGGCTTTTCTACAGAAAAGGCATGCTTGTGTTTTGTTTGCATTGAAATCTGCCAAGTTATTGGATCCCTATTCGAAAATTGTTGCTAAGGCTATATTCATGTTGTCAACAATCATTCCTCGTTCGTTTCTGATTTGCCTGGCAGATAGTAATGGAGCCCTAGAATAGAAGGCGGCATGGAGGGTACTATCATTCGCGGAGCTGTGTACTGGACATGAAGTTGCTTTCAACAAATCGTTGATATGAAGTAGAAATAGTGTTGGTGCTAGAATTGATCCTTGCGTAACACCTGCATTCATGATAAGTCAGATGAAACTCCGTCGACCACTCCATGGAGAGTCTTGTTTGAGAGAAAACTAGCTTGCAGAGAACATAGCTGGGGAGGCAAGCAATAAGCTGAAAGCTTGGCGAGGTTGGTAGTTCGACTAGTTGTTCTAGACCATGAGTGATGACGAAGGCCTCAGTTTGACGACCTGCATCATCTGTTGTGTACTATGAAGTATCTCATGATTATGATTTCAGCTGCTGGATGGTTCTCCAACTCAAAGAGGTTGTTATATTCATCATCATTAGGGGATCGGTGAGATAAATTTGGTCAGTTTGGTATCCACCAGCTTGAACCACATCACATCAAATTCTTTCGGTTCCAAACTCTCTACACGCTGGCATGAGAGGTTAGCCTCAGCGTAGAGGCAGACTCCACCTTTGAGCCTAAATCGAGAATGAAGTTTGTAACCATCAGGAGTCCACTTGAGTTTCTGTGAGTGCCAGAATATCTAAAGATACAGTGAATTTTCCTACTACTTTCTGTTTCTTTTTCACTTGACCGATATACAGTGCGTCCATAAAGTAACGCATAAATTCATTATTGGCTAAATGAACAATAAAATTAGGAATTCCCGAAACAGGTCGATTTTTGATTTCAATTTACTACTGTTTCGAATCATAATCTAATATACAGGGTGAACCACTTTCGTGTAATGACGTCATCACAATTTTTTTCAAATGGAACCCCCCCTTTTTCTTCAATTTCCAAATTGCCTTTGCTGAGGTGATTCCAAAAATGTATAATATTTTGCTTCAAATTGGTACAGGGTGGGCAAAAATGCGAAAATTTACTTACATAGTAATAAAAATAATGAATAAACATAATAAATACATTAAATGAAATTACGTATTGTTATACAACTACTTTGATAAACTATCAAGAACATCCTGCATTATTCTTAATAATTGTATCTTACAGCTTTTATTAGTGATCCAAGCCCGTGGACTATAAAAATCTTTTTGTTTGGCATTATCTTCTACCATTTTCTCAATTTGACAAAACTTTCAAAAACATTGAAGCATAGTTTCGTATTCTTAACGCTTTAGAGAAGGTACGTTCGTGAACTTTTTTTACAAAATGCCTTTAACCGAAAGTGACAGGATTGAAATATTAATGATGATTGGTATTGGCGATGAGATGAGGACTCAACAAGAGGTATGCCGATTATTCCATGAAATGCATCCAGATCGTGAACCTATTTCACAATCTACGGTGAGTAGGATAGATCGAAAATACAGAAAATTAGGACATGTGAGGGATGCAGCAAAGCAAGGTAGACCAAAAATTGATGAAGATATCCAACAAGACATAATTTTGTCGGCTGTGGAAAATCCACACTGTACAAATCGAGGATTATCTAGGGATTTTGGTATTGGAAAGTCTTCAGTATCAAACATTTTTAAAAAGGTGAAATACCATCCTTATAAAGTACGTCTCATCCATGATGTGGCTGAAGACGACTTTGACCGAAGAACTAAATTCTCCGAGTATATGATGAACCAAAATAACAATTTCATTGATAACGTTTTATTTTCGGACGAGGCAACGTTTCATTTGAACGGTCATGTTAACCGACAAAACACCCGTTATTGGTCTGATGAAAATCCACACTGGATGCAAGAGTACCATACGCAAAGACCACAAAAAACTAACGTAAGGGCTGGTATTGTGAGAAATACAATTATTGGTCCATATTTTTTTGATGAAAACATAACAGGAGCATTATATCTGGATCTCCTACAAAATACATTAATTCCTGATTTGATCCAGCTTTTTCGTGATATTCAAATACCCACTGATGTAGACCGCAGAATCTGGTTTCAACAGGATGGCGCACCGCCACATTTCGCAGTAACTGTGCGCGATTTTTTGAACACAACTTTTCCACAAAGGTGAATGGGAAGGAAGAAGGGGACCAGTGGAATGGTCTGCTAGATCACCTGATCTGATCCCATTAGACTTCTTTTTATGGGGTCGTTATTCAAAATCTAAAGTCTACTTAAACAGACCTGGAAATATCCCTCAACTACAAGACCGAATCAGACAAGAAATACAGAGCATAACACCCGCTATGCTGCAGAATGTCATAGATTAAACAAACAATAGATAGACAATCCCTGTACAAATTGGTAACGCTCATAAATTGTACGCCAAATTCACATTAGTATTATCGTCAAATGTCAGATGGCGCTCTATCTCTTTTATCGATCGACTCGTAGTAAAATTGTGAAAGAATAATAGTATTCGGGCGTGGCATCAAGATAAGGATCATGATTTATGGCTCACAACATGAATGGGTCTTAACAGGTAGGAAAATAACTTGTATACTCATTCCTTAAACTGTGTATGAGGTAGATATGGTTCCTTCGATGGTTATTTTTATTCACGCGCGTGTATAGGCATGCACCTGAACAAACTTAAATCTCAGGAAGTCTTCATTGTTTTTTTTTACGGGGTAGGTCAAGATGAATTGAAACTTGATTTTGAAACGTATACTTTAAACATAGATTAAAAATAAACTGAAATATCTAAATAGCTGGAACTTATCGAATATACAGAGTGAGTAAAATTGTAGATCGAACATTTTTTAAATTTCAAAATATCGAGAATCTGAATAACATAATTATGGTTTGTCAATGGGTTATTCTATGATATAGGGTGGGTCAATATGCGTACGCCTTTTTGATCGCTTTAGTTCGTTGACGGCAGGTATCTTATTCAAAAACATTGATACCTACAATGATTGATATAATCTGTAATTTCAAATCATGACATAAATATACAGGGTGAGTTGACGAGATTCCGATGAACTCAAGAGATAACTAAATCTACACCGAGATCTACACCTTCTCAAATCTTCAGAATCGACAGAATCTGATCAACTCATCAGTCGCCATTAGGATATTCCATAATATATACAGGGGGCTATAATAAGTACGTTCTCTTCGTATTGCCTGAGTTCTAGTTCTATAATAGCATTATGATAGCTATAAATCACATTTAATATCGTTATGAAACCAAATCAAATAATCTCTGACTGGAAATCATTATCGAATATACAGGGCGAGTGAGTCAAATGGGATATTAATTTTGAGAATTCCAAGAGTTACAGCCGGAATCTACACTTTTTCAAATATCTAAAATCTGAGCAACTCTCTTCGATTCCGATAATTTCAAGAGATTACAATACACCTAAGTCTATACCTTTCCTTATCTACAGAATCGAGAAAATCTGGGAGCTACATATATACAGGGTGTTCCAGGTTGAACGTCATTAAATTTCATAAGCGATAAAACAATGGAAAAAAGTTGACTCATGGAAAAACTTTGGTTAAAAATGCTTCCCATCAAAGATACAGGGTGTCAAATTTGTGGGCAGAAATTAGATTTCTCATCATTACTTCCAAACCACTCGACCGATTTTGATCAAATTTCGCACAGACACTAATGTATTTCATCTCTGAGTAATGATTGAGGTTATTCGAGGAAATTCTTCAGTGGCGTAGATAATGGGGGTCGACATATCCTTCTCCCTCACCTAATCTTCGGTTTCACTAAATATTTTACAAAAAGATTACATTTTTGGATTTCTTGTTCAATTTAGAGAATAAAAATACCTTTGCAAATGTTTGATTTATGGCTTCGTTTTCAAGATACTTATTCGAATTTAGAGGGTTGCATCAAAAAGGCTAAAATTTTCGAGGTTTTGTACAGGCTGTACTAGTATGGTTTTCAATAATGTTAATGAAGTAGGTACACATTACACTGTTGATTTTGATGATTCCAAACTTAACGCGGCCGCCGAGAACTCAATCGAGGTGTCTAAACTCTGAAACCCTGTATCTCTGTTAGGAAGCATTTTCAACCAAAGTTTTATCATGAAAGTCTACTTCTTTCCCGTTTTTTTGTCGCCTATCAAATTTAATG